ACTCGCGTCATCTCATGTTCTTCACCCAATACCTTTTGTCTGATGTTAAGTGCTCGCTTGTGTGACTCAGCGGCTGAGTTGTGATCTTTAAGTGCATATTGGGCAAGCCCCAGGCTAGAGTAGCTATCAGCGGTCTCCTCATGTTCTTCACCCAATACCTTTTGTCTAATGTTAAGTGCTCGCTTGAGTGACTCAGCGGCTGAGGTGTAATCTTTAAGTGCATTTTGGGTAACCGCCAGATTATGGTAGCTATTAGCGGTCTTCTCATGTTCTTCACCCAATACCTTTTGTCTGATGTTAAGTACTCGCTTGTGTGACTCAACAGCTGAGCGGTGATCTCCAAGTGTACATTGGGTAATCCCCAGGCTAGAGTAGCTATCAGCGGTCACCTCATGTTCTTCACCCAATACCTTTTGTCTGATATTGAGTGCTCGCTTGTGTGACTCAGCGGCTGAGGTATAATCTCCAAGTGCATATTGGGTAACCCCCAGCTGATTGTAACTGTTAGCGGTCTCCTGGTGTTCTTCTCCAAGCAATTGAATTTCGATGTCGAGTGCACGCTTGTAGGACTCGGCAGCTGCATTATAATCTCGTAGTGCGTATTTTGATAACCCTAATTCGCAGTGTGCATCGGCGGTCTTCCTATCTTCTTCACCGAAGAGTTCCAAGATGATGGTTAGAGCCTGTTGTTTTGAACTGACAGCTTCTGAAAAGAGACGTAGGCAATGTTGATTTCGTCCTCGAAGCGAATACCACTTTGCTAGAGCCTCCTTGTGCAGACTTGAGCTGACGTTTTCTTCGTCCGTTGTCCTTTTTTGTAGTGAACTTAGATGATAGGTTATAAGTTTCTGAGTTAGTGATAAACCTTCCTGATAATTATGCGAATTTCTCAGCATGCTAATGGTGTTTTCTTCAAATTTAAACCAGCCCGGTTTGGTCATTTCATTGGTTGACTCAATGCCTTGAAGCATTCCGAACAGTAACTTGATTGAAAACTCAATGATTTCAGCTGAAGATGTTTTTGCGATAGCTTTGCTCAAAAGATAGGTCACTGCAACTTGAACTGGTTCGTTTCCAAGATTTTCTGTACTTGAGGGTACTCTGTCTTCATTCCCATAATTTGGTTCTCCATCATTGTCCGGAATTACTAATAAATGCATGTCTCCTGCTTCTCTGCATTCTTGCACGGCTCTATCATAGAACGTGGTTGACATCTCGTAATCGCTTTTTGCGCATCGATAGAAAATAGCGAGGATTTGAAATATCATAAGTCTCAGAAGTTTGTGTTCAGCAGTTTTGTTCAGAAGGGAAATGGCTTCTCGTAAACTTCTTACTCCATCTTCCGTCTTTCCTACCACAAGCTGATAGATGCCAGAGTAGCACAAGTGTTTGCCTTTCTCTTCAGGACAAATGGTAGCCGTTGAACTTTGAAGTTTACTGGCCTCCGAAAGCAACAGCTTTGTTTTTTCACTCTCTCTCCAG